GTATGTGTTTTGCAAAGTCATAAGCAAAACAAAATGAGAGGAGAAAAAAGCACCTTTGAGCTCAAAAAATGCTTGCTGCAATTGTATTCAAAATGAATAACGTTCAAATATCTTTATTTTGCACCCACCTTCTAATAAAACCATATATTCAAAAAAAGAAAAAAACGGATTGCAGAATTGTAAACAAAAAAAAAAAAATTGGGACAGCAATAAATTTAATGTTCTTAAAATATTGATCATAATTTTTATGTATTAGTATTTGTTTTCTTTTCCTTTTTTTTTTTTTCTGATGGAAAATCCACCTTTTTTTTATAGTTTATTAATCCAATAGCAGTTCTCTCTGAACACTTTAACTCAGCTGAAAGTCAGCGTTACCTTAACTTATTGGTTGCTCATAATAACTGTTAAAAAAAATTTTCCAATATCCATTATATATGTATAAATATGGGTACAAACACGTACTGTATGATTTAAAATTTTTTTTCAATTAAACTGACTTTGAGTTTAATTTGTTGAATGAAAAAATAACTGAGTGTATTTTTGTCAACAAAAAAGAAAAAGAACTTTTTCCAAGCAAAAGTATATATCTGCGCTCATTTTACCATTCATTTTTTTTTTCCTTCCCTCCATCATCATCCAGCCATGCACCTGAAATTTCTTTGTCTCTAATTTGGCAGATTAATCTGTTGGCATCAACTGATTCATTCGTTGCACAACACTTTAGTGATTTTTATTTTTCTTTTTTTTTTAAAATTTGTTATAAGTATCGAGATTGTTCTTGTTTATCATCCTATCAAAAATGGAGCAACCCTATCGATGATGCATCAAGCCATCATCATCGACGCCGTTGCAATGGTCGCCATGAACTGTTTTGGCCTGTCAATCCATGATTGTAGGAAATTACGGTAACCAAACTAGTCATCGTATTCAAGAGCAGTCAACTAGATTGACTTGTCTATTAACTAGATATGTCAATTTAATCAATCCATATTAGCAGGTTCATCCCTCTTTTTTTTCTTTTTTTTTCTTTTTCGTAGTTGTCATTGTCAGTTTACAGCAACTGATGTGGAACCCCGCATATCTGGTTTTATTTCGCAAATGTTAAAAGCTTTAAAATTTTTATTAACTTTAACTTCTCAACACTAACATTTGCAACGATGGTCTGCTGCACGTTTGATTTTTGTTCCACTATAAAATATCAAATTTATTTATTTATGTAAATAATAAATAATACTTTTTCAGTTCATCTGTAAACGGTTATTTCAATCTTGTCATATGTAAAAAAATTTTCAAACTGTGAACTTGTTTTGGTTAATTCTTCTGGTATAAACTACATAAAATAACAATGGTATTACTCTTCTTTTTATTTCAGCTACAGTTTTAAACAGCTGCTTTTCTTCATCCTGAAAATTTTTTGAATCAATATAGAGAAACAATAACATACACTATGGAAGATGATATTTTGTTTCATATTATTTCGCACTGATATAACAAATACTATTGCCATGTCGTTGCCTTTTAATTTTTCACTGTTTATTTTTATATGTATGCATATAATCGTTGCCCCTAAAATCACTGAAAAAAAAAA